AAGGGAGGGGGAGTTAGAGAGGGTGAGAGCAGCCCAAGAACAATAGTGCAAGTGGAGGAAGATCCGTTGGATCGATGCCCTGGTCACTCGTCAGGCTTCGCGTGTCTCCGAACATTGATCATTATCAACTTACCTGTCGTTGACATATTGGAAGTTGGTTAGGGGAAGCTCAGAGAAACTTTGATGGAGTGAGTAGGTATGTGAGAGTGCAACTAGAGTGATGAATATGAGAAGTGATGGATCTTTGAAAGATGAAAGGAAAAAACAGATAGGATAACATGTCTTTATGTAGAGAGAACTAAAGATCTAATATTCACCATTTGCCTTTCATTAACATGGGAAAATGAAAGTGTGACGATAGAAAGCTTTCAGAATCCCAACTCTATTTGTATTTAACTATCATGTCGAATCCATTGAGTTGCACAACCGCCGAATCAGGCTCTAGGGAAAATCAGCTCAATTCAAAAACAGAAAGTATATACAGCACTGCTTCACGCAGGTGGCAAAAAGGATGCAAAGAGGCCGCCTTGGATCATGGCATACATGCTGATAAACACAATGATACCATAACCCAAATTCTGTCTCTGCTTATCCATGAGACATGAAGCGACCCACCAGTACCACACGGGGTACGCGGATGAGATACGACTTATGATTTGGACGTGATAGTTTGTGATGGCCAAGACGGCCAGGAGAGTTTGCACGGCAGCTAGAGTTTTCACAAGCAGCCTGCACTGTTCATCCGTGCCAGAAACCATGGCTCGAAGGCCTCGCGACGGTTCTCGCATAACCTCTGTTCCTGACTTGATGAGGATCGTGAGCATAGGAGCTGCAAGGAGGAAGAGAGGGATCTGGTTGGGTGTCCAGTATCTTAGGAAGCCAACGTTCCTAGTTCTGTTAGTTTCCACTACTTAACTTGTCTGTGAGCACATACCAATATTCTTCTTGGACGAAAGTGTAAATGCTTGGGAGAGGGCGTGTACACCAAGGACGTTGTTCTTCATTATCCTGGACATTGCAATACCTCATCCAGGCCAGAACCTGAGGCGCAACAAAACCAACCGCAACCAAGAGTCCACCAATAACAGGCGCAACTAGCCTCAGGACTTTGGAGAATGTGAAGCCGTCAAGAAGTGCTGTGAGGCCTTTGATGGCTTCCACCGCAAAGAGAACGCCGCCAAAGAGTCCATTGCTTCGAAACACACAGGAAACCCCATATAACAACCCTGCTCCAATAACGGAAATATTTCGCCTCAGTGAATCAGGGCTGGCTTTCAGACCCAACGCAAAAAGAAGGTTGGCCAAAAAGGACAGGCATGCAAATGTACTCTCTGCATACGGTGCTGAAAGAAAGAGACCGCCAGGTGAAAGAATATGCACGGCTGCAGCCAAATATGCCAGTTTCCGATCATTGCTTAGCACAATAGTGAGCTGGTACAGCGCCAGAACAGCAATGAGATGAGAAACGTGTGAGATGGAAATCGCAATAATGGCATCCCAGCCCTCAAGCCCAAATAACCCTTTAATGCCACGTACAACGGCTGGCAGTCCAATGCCAAACGCCCACTCCTGCTCGTACACTTTGCCTCTCACCGCATCGTGCATGAAATACAGCGCGTCCCATCTCGTCAGACGAGTAGCAAGAGCAGGAACAGGTGTTGTTGGGCCATAGACGATGTTGAAGAAGAGAGATGTTGAAGTATCGTAGTCTGGGCCGACAGACGCACCGAGAGCGATGGCCAGGAGAAGGCCCTTCCAAGCAGTGAAGGCGGCTGTTAAAGAAGTTGTTGGGTTTGTTTCGTGGTTAAGGAGACCCATCTTGAGGAGAGGGTTGAATGAGCGTGTGAAGTTGGTGATGTGAGGTTGAGCTGAAGGGTTGCGTTACGTGGGGTAGAATATAGTGACACGTTCGCTAATAAACCCTGTAGAAGTGTAGGATCAAAGATCAACACAGCACAACGAATGGTTCAGGTGTATGAGAAACCAGAAAACAATTATGACTGGGAAACTAAATATTTTAAACTCAGTATTGAAACATGAAAATGAAAATGAAAAATATCGTTGCCTGGTGGTGTTCAGTTCATCTCATTCACTAAAGTAGCAAGCTCTGGCACTTCTCATAGGTCACCACACATTCATCAATCATCACCAGCCTCACTTACACAATACACATATACACCATCAATTAATATCAATATCAACAAAAATGTCAGCAGAAGATGCCACAAGACACTCATCTCGTCTAAGGCCAGGAGAGTTTCCACCACTAGTAACCGTTTCTCCTCTTATCTCACCCCATAAACTCACAATCATCGTCCTTCATGGCCGTGGCTTCAATGCACAGAAGTTCCACTCGCCACTTCTCACATCTCCTTCTCCCAATCCATCAATATCGTTTCGCCAATCGCTTCCCCATGCTCGCTTTGTGTTCCCGACCGCGCCTCTAGCGAGGGCGACCAAGTATCGCCGTTCACTAATTCACCAATGGTATGAGGGAACTGGAGACTGGGAGCCAGAGGCGCGTGGGAACATGCGACCGAGCATCGAGTATATCCATACATTATTAAAAGATGAGATAGAAAGGTTAAAGGGGGATGCAGGGAAACTAGTGTTGATTGGTTTCAGTCAAGGCGGTGCAATGGCCTTGATGAGTTGGTTGCTTCGGGAGGGTCAGAGTCTGGGCGCTGTGGTCATCCTGAGTGGCTTCATGCCCTTGGCGGAGACTTTAATGGCTGATGAAACAGGTGATGATGCCTCAGAAGACGGATTGTTCGAAAGGGATAGTGAAGAGGAGGCAAAAACTCCACTACAAAGGGCAATTGACGAGCTTCGTGAAGAGGCAGAGCTTGATCGTGCACCACCAATGTCATCTTTCCCTTTCTTGAAGACTCCTGTATTCGTGGGGCATGGTAGAAAGGACGAGGATGTTGAGTATTGTCACGGACTAAGTGCTGCTAAATGCTTGGAGCGCATGGGAGTAGAAGTCGAGTTTAAGACTTACCCGGCCTTGAAGCATTGGTACTGTCCTGAAGAACTTGGACATATAACACAATTTATAAATCAACAGCTAGAATTATAACCAGTCGACATCACAGAGAGGACTATTAGGTTTGATGACTCATAAATTCATGATATTCCGCTTATGGGGGCATTTTAGATAGATAACACCAGACCCTTTTATCCAACACTTTTCAACCACTCATTAAATCTTCTCACCATCGAGAATAACCTTGGCCTCATCTGAAGTCCACCAACTCACGCCCTTCTCACCAGGGTAGCTAAATCGATCCATGCTCTCAGGCTTCATCTCAACACTGTATCCAGGCTCCACAGGAGTGGTGTAGTAACCATCCTTGATAACAGAGGGGTGGAAGAAGTGCTCGTGGAGGTGGTCCACGTACTCAAGAACAGACAGCTTTCCAGAGACAACGACGTAGTCGATGGTGCTCAGGTGTTGTGTGTACTCGGGAAGACCAACACCACCGGAGTGAGGAACAATAGGCACACCAAACTTCTTGGCCATGAGGAGGACAGCAAGGACCTCGTTGACACCGCCCATACGGCAAGCGTCGATCTGACACACATCGATGGCACCGGTCTGGAGCAGTTGCTTGAAGATGACACGGTTCTGGCACATCTCACCAGTAGCGACACCAATGCCATAAGGCTTAAGCGCATCGCGAACAGCCTTGTGACCGAGGACATCATCGGGGGACGTAGGCTCCTCGATGAACCAAGGCTTGAAGTCGGCGAGCTGCTTCATGTACTCAATGGCCTCGGGAACAGACCAAACCTGGTTGGCATCTGTCATGAGAACATTGCCCTTGTCGTAGCCAATGACCTCACGAGCAATGCCTAGACGCTTGCGGTCGCGCTCAATGTCACCACCGACCTTGACCTTGAAGTGTCTGTATCCAGCGTTGAGAGTCTCCTGAAGCAGGCTCTTCATCTTATCCTCTCCGTATCCAAGCCAGCCAGCACTCGTTGTGTAAGCGGGCACAGCGCGGTTGTTGAGAGCTTCTTCGAGTCGCTTAGCCTTGGTAGGCTCCTGCTCCTTAAGCATAGCAACAGCTTCCTCGGGAGTGATAGCATCGGTAATGTAACGAAAGTCAATGCAGCTGACGAACTCCTCAGGGCTCATATCAGCGACAATGCGCCAGACGGGCTTGTTGAGGGTCTTGGCCCAGAGGTCCCAGACAGCGTTGACGACGGCACCGAGAGCGAGGTGGATAACACCCTTCTCGGGACCGATCCATCGGAGCTGACTGTCGTTGACGAGATGTCGCCATGTCTGGCCCCAATTTGCGACGAGAGAGGAGAGTGTCCTGCCTTTGAGACGCTCGGCGACGTGGTTGATGGCAGCGCAGACGATGTCGTTTCCACGGCCGATAGTGAAGGTCTATACAAAGTCAGCTACAGTTGAGATGGTCTCTGAAGGCATTGAGTGCTGACCATTCCGTGACCGGTGTATTCAGAGTCTGTCTCAAGGATGCAGTAGGCGGAGGAGTAGTTGCCAGCAGCGTTCATGGCATCGGAGCCAGTTCCGTCGAGAGAAGTAGGAAAGCGAACATCGCGAGTCTTCCAGCCTGTGATTGTGATTTCACCCATGATTGCGGCGGTTTATTTGTATATTTATTCGAAGTTGTAAGTAATTGTCGAGGATGAGAGAGCTCAGTGAAGCATGAGGGACACTCTTGAGGTGGGGTGAGCTCCGAACGCGGGGAGAGGGGGAGGTTTTAGTGAATGGTGAGGAGTTATGATGAGAGGACCACAACGAGAGAAAGGAAGAAGAAGTATAGAATCGTCAAGATTATAATGAATCAATTGAGGCTAAATAGAGATTGAAGCTGGGAGCGTCATGCTTTATAGCTTCTCCCTTCTGCTGGTCCCTTTTTTTCTCCTCCTCCCACAGACTCTCTCATGAGACCTCATCCATTGTCACGATGTGGGGTAAGAGAAGAGTCGAGATGCCATGACGACCAATTCCTCAGCGTCTGATTGATGGAATAACGGGATCCGCTCACTGGAAACCCCCATGAAAGTGAATTTGTATATCATGAGAAGCCATCCGCCGGCATGTTCTTGCCGATTAATATGCTTGGGTTTGGAGAGACGAGAGTTGTTGATTTGGGGGTGGGTTTGGGGGGAGCATCTGTTAAGAGGATATCATGAAAGACTTGATCTACAGTGAGGTCATGGTGTTGTAGGAAGTACTCATGATTCAAGGCCTAAGAGCAGTAAACCCCCGCGACCCGCCCCCGCGCAGCAATAGACCTGGGCTGCGATGAGCTATAGTATGAATGGTCTCGGTCTTCCCCCCGCAGGCAGAATATCCATTATAAAGAGCACGTAGCTATGGGTACCCAGGCACTCAATGCGCTCCATCTCTTCTAGTAAAAACGAGACTGGCTTGAGGGGAAAATAAATCGTGACTCAAGTTTATGCTAATGAAAGTTTTAGTGCCCTCGCCAAAAAGAATTCCCATTTAAATAATTATCCGATGTTGAGTTTTGACCCCACGATGTGTCCCCGCGATCCGATCCGAGTACCCCTCACTAACATGGGATCCAACGCACACAGAGAAAGTCTGTTAGCAAGTCAGTTGAACTAAAGTATTTATGAATTAAATTCCTCAATCACGTTGAAAAAATCCGACGGATAATTTAAGCTTCTTTGAAATTATAACTATGGACTTTTGAGATTTCAGAAATGCCACTTATATCATGCCATGTCTTGACCGTTTCTTCGATGTGCACGAGAACATTCTTCCATTTCACTTCCCCAACCACCTGAGTAAATTAACTGCATACAGTATCCGTCACCGTCCTTCAGCACTATACGCACTGTATTTGCTTGACTTTGGACTCTCGGAAGAAGCCTCTTCTCGTTTATCCCGTCGTCAAAGACAAAGGTTTCTTCGTAAAAGAAACCACCGACGGCCTTATTCTACTCCCTAACGCTCAGGGTCTCATTGATCTATGACGATTAGGATATTCAAGACCGAAGATAAATATTTGCGTTCCACAACAAAATTATTGTCAAAAAGACAAAAGTGTGCGAAGAGAGGCAGCCGGCTTGCTCCTACCACAGCCAGCACAGCACCCTCATGCATATCTAACTCGCGTACATGAACTGAACTTACTTTATTACTCACAATGGCATTGCCACAACCGAAGATCCGGATGGCTTCAGAACAACAGCCCATCGACAAGAGACACGTCTGTTTTTACCCCTCTCAGTGAGTAAATGGGCTCAGACCTCTCAGTAAGGGTCTTTGATCGATACAATACGATATGTAGAGAGGCACACATGACATGACATCAGCTCGAGCTAGATTTAATCACACGCGACGCGGCAGGGCCATACGGATAACAACCGTCTTGGCACTAGGAAGTAACCTAGTGCGAAGCCTGAGCCTGTGAGGGTGTTGCGGCAGCTGTAAGGCGTTTCTACAGCGCACTCGAGAATGTCTGTCTACTAGTCGGGTCGGGTGACAGGGCCAGACAAGGAAGGGAAAGGGTCCTGATTATCAGTTGCTGCAGCGTGTGGGCTTCACCGCTGCAGAGGCGGGTTGGTGGTGGTGGGTGGTCCGAGATTGTTCTCGTCAGATTCTGGAAGAGTCAAGAGTCAGAGTCGAGGGTGAGTGAATCTTGTTTTGGTGCAGACGACCACAATGATCAAGGTGAAGTAAGTACCGCGGATCAGTTTCCTTTAAGAGGATACAGTACACCCTCGTCTCGGTTACCAGCTCTGCTGTACAGTAGCTGTAGCTGTATCTTGCCGGGTCGTCCAATGCCTGTAGTCCAGCCCTGTCAAGCTTGTCAAAGCCTGTTGGAGTCTGTGTTCTGTTCCTGTTGATGCCAGAAAAGTTGCAGGTTGCAGGTTGCAGAATCCCAGTTTTTGATCATCCCTGCCTATCCCCAACCCTTTTTTCTTCCCTTTCTTCCCCTTCGACCCATGACGTGGAGTATCTCATCCACCTCGTGGTCCTCTTGATTGGACTTCCACTCTAACCTGCAGCTTTGAAGCCACTTTGGGCCAGGGAAGCGGTAAGGCCTTGACTGTGTGTCTCTCTCGGCTTTACTACGTACATAATTACGACTGATTGACTGACTTGACTTGGCTGACTTGACTTATGTACCTTGCCTTACCCTGACTGAACTCTCCCTCTCTCTCTGCGCAGCTTGCACGATTCGCATTTGCTTTTTCCTACACATACATACATATCTTCGTCATATAACATACCTCACATATCTCTCCCATGTTTGTCTTCCATGGCTGCGAAATCTCCAGAATTCACCAACCAACGTGACCTATATCAACCAAGATACGCTTAACACACACACGAGTTTCAATTCACCTCAAATTCTCACCCCAAGCGCCCTTGACGACGATCCACGCTTATCACTCACCTTGCATTTTTTAACTAACATAAATGCTACATCCTGAAACCGCGGCTCTCAACAGCAATTTATGTTCACCGCCCGCCATGGACAACACTCTCACAAGAAGTCACAGTTTGAAGCCTCCCAGGCGCAAACTCCAAAAACCTGACCCGAAACTCAAAAGCCTCAACAAAGCTAAGCGCGGTTCTACCGACTCGACCACGTCTAGCCTTAGCCCTCAGAGCACTATGTCTTCACCGTCGCAACGACAAATTCAGAACGGCGCTCCCGATTTGAGCGATTCAAAATGGGATCATTATCTTCGACCAAAGACCGTCTTTGTGCCCTCATTTTCAGAGCCCGAAGACCATCTTCAGCCCGAGATCAATTCACCATATGAACCTCCTCAGCAACAGCATCATCAGTACCAGTACCAACATGAGCCTGAACCCGAGCCGCCGAGGGCGTTCTTCAGTCCCCCGCCACGAAGACAATCCTCTCAGCGCCAAATTCCAGAATTCCACCATTTGACCCTCCAGGATCATCATGCGCGACCATCATTGGACAGCTCTTCTCTCCCTTCGACCGCATCAACTACCTCGACATCATCTATTATGCGACGCCAGGCCAAAACACCCGTCTTTCGAATCGGACAACTAGAACAACATGCACTTGCGCGCAAGGCGAAGGATGTGCCGGAGAAGACATCAAGCGTCGAATTGATCGCTGATCAGTACAACGCTGTTCTTGAGTCGAGAGATGGTCCCCCAGCGCTGGACTCACAATTACCGTCACGGGCATCGACATATTCATTCGACGATACCCCTCTTCAGATATCCCCCCACGGAGCCAAGCGACAAAGTTTACGGTCCTCAAATACATATTCATCCATGACGGCTATACCCCGTCAGCTGAGACCCAGACTCCGGTCAGCAGCGACTCATGATACGAATGTGGCTGCGGTTGAAGGAGACACTATTTACTTCAAGCCATATTCATTCTCACCACCACCATCTCCCGATCAGACCCCCGGAACACCACGAGGTTCTTGGACAGATGAGTTCCGACCACCTTCATCATCAGGGCACTCGTTCCAGGAAAATATCAGCCTTCAAATAGCGCTCGATCTACTCACGAGCGAATTATCATCCGTTGTGTCAGGCCGACCACAGCGAAACGGACAAGATACCGCAGCACTGCAGGTCTGGGTCATGATCGAGGCATATGAGAGACTGCGCGATCAACTAACACGGCAACAATCATCAAACGCGGAGGCACAAAAAGTGGCAACCATGTTCGACTGCTGGTTGGCCTCCCTTTACTCGATCCATTCCTCCCTCACAGAGAGCACACTGCCCAGTCCCACAGAATATGCAGGACTAGAAGAAGATTTGGATTAGACTTGAGACAGACATGATGTACACGAGGACATGTGTACGCAAATAACGAAACATTATGGTTACTGGCGTTATGGGCGCGGCCAGGGGGAATAACCTGGCATTGGATAGGATAAGATAGGGCATGACGGGACAAGGCAAAAGCGGCTGGAGCTGCGGATGGGATAGGATAGGATTGGATGGGAGATACCTGGAGGAACTTGTTTTTTAGTTGCTGCACTTTGAATTTACCCTGATCAATGAGTTTTGATGCTTATCATTGCATGTGAGTGAGTTGTGATTGAAGACCATCAGCACTGCCACGTTGAAAAGTGTAGATCATTAAGCTAAGAACAGGAACCAGGAGCCGAGGTTTTAAAAATAGATTTCATGATGGTCTTTGACGTTTGGGTTGCATCAACTTGATTGTGGCGAGTTGACGATGCTGAATTGAGAATCGCATTGTTGAAAGGTGTAAATGATCTTCCAGGTCTACGCGGCACATTTATAGGTATCGATACCTCGATGATAGTGGCTGAGTGGTAACTACGTAAGGTATTAGTAGCTTCGAATATAGCACAAGGCCGTTCTATTCAGAATTGGTTTAGCTATAGGTACTTTGCTTGTTCTGAGTTAGGTAAACTTTATCAACGGCTGTATGATTTGATTGAATGACCTAGATGCATTTTACACTGCAAAAGAGAAAGGTTTCAGCATCCTCACCTTAAGAAGACATTGATAGGATTCATCAGTAACAACTCTATAGATATTCAACATACTGAGATACAAAAGACAGAGATCAAAAGACCCAGGATCTATAGGAGAAGAGTGTTTGTTGTACATATATTGTGTTTGTGTAAGAGTGATGACCCACCCTAGCTCAAGTCAACTTACGCGATGCGTGAACTGCCATCACCTTTCAATAAGCACATAACGAGAGGCTACCAACGTCACCGACCAATTTCACTGCGCAGCTTCAGTAATTCATCATGGACGACGACTACGGTGCAGATGACGAGCTCCTGGCCGCTATGGCCGCAGCTGATCCCACGCCTGCTGCACGGTCAATTCAGCAACCCACGCCTTCACGAATCCAACAACCTACACCACAACGTCTAGACAAAGCACCGCCACCTGCCTCCAGCGCGGGAAAGGTCGTTCAGCCAACACCACAGGCTCTACCTCAGAAGCAGTCTGGTTCAACTATCCTGGTATCTCCGCGCCAGCGAGGAAATCCTGTTCTTACGAGCATTCGATCTATGCCATGGGAGTACAGCGACATCCCTGCCGACTATGTCCTGGGATTGGGTACTTGTGCTCTGTTCCTGAGGTAGCTTTGCGCATCTGTTTATATGTTATCTTGGTACTGATCCTTCTTAGTCTCAAGTACCATCGTCTGCATCCCGAATACATCTATACACGAATACGTAACCTTCAAGGCAAATACAACCTGCGCATACTCCTCACAATGGTCGACATTCCCAACCACGAAGCCTCCCTGAAAGAACTATCAAAGACATCACTCGTCAACAATGTCACCCTAATTCTCTGCTGGTCCGCCGCTGAAGCTGCACGCTATATCGAGTTATACAAGAGCTACGAGAATGCTACATTCGGCGCAATCCGTGGCCAACAACCGTCCAGCTACGGCGAGAAGTTGGTAGAATTCGTCACAGTGCCAAGAAGTCTGAACAAATCAGATGCGGTCGCCGTAGTGAGCAATTTCGGCAGTTTGAAAAATGCAATCAACGCTGATGCAGAACAACTCGGTATGCTCAACGGATGGGGAGGAGTCAAAGTCAAGAGGTGGCAGTCCGCAGTCGAAGAGCCATTCAGAGTGAAAAAGGCTGCCAAGAGAGGCGCAAAGGCCTCGGATCGATCAGCAAGACTTGACCAGGCTTTACCTCTTTCGCGGGTTCCTCTACGGGATATGCCAACCGCTGCATCATCTTCGCGACAATCTCCCGCCACAGACACACCTGCTGCAGAAAAGGCAAATGAGCCTACATCGAAGCAATTCCAGTTTATGGACAACACGGATGACGAAGACGATGAAGAAGCCATGCTTGCCGCTGCTATTGAGGCTTCGAAGAAGACTGCACAGACAGAAGAGGCCACTCGTGCGAGCCAGACCGATAAGGACGAGCAACTCAGTGGCGGTATTGCTGCTGCATTGGCAAGACTGCGAGAGAATGATTGAACCATTTTACCCTACTCTCATTAGGATTCTTGTCGTCTAAGTATCTGATTCCCGAAACCCCGAGGCTGACTTGGTTCGGCACCACACTATACTCTACAGAACGCCAACGAACTGCAGTTCAATCACGCCAGAAAGGAATACCGACCCCTGGATTTGCGCATGGTTGTCTCCTGCCTAGAAGAGCTGAATAGTCTGTCCGGAAAAGAGTCATCAATGGCAGCGTAGCAATCTCTAGGCTGGGACTATGCTTTGACATTATGAGATTGTGTCAATTTCATGGCATTTATGAGCATCTGCTCAAGAGATCAGACATTGAACATCAGCTGGGCAAACAATCCCAGGTGGCGTTGAGCCATCTGAATCATGGAACGAGGAGCTCTCGATTCTACCAAAGTTTACCCCAAATATTTGAGTCCTATAACATAGCAGCGCCAATAGATAGGTCATCCGGGATCTATGATCATGAAAGTTGGCATATAGGTAGTTAAACGAGGTCGCCACAAGATAAATGTACAATAGGGCAGTGGGAACATGGTATATCATACAGCCTAACTCACCTCATCTTTCTATGTGTAAATCAACCAATCTAGCTTTATAGTGTTCATGCACCGAAGTTTTGAGCCAACTCTAGGCCTCCTGTCGTTGTCGATTTGTTCATAGATGTCACTGTTAATAACATATCATTCACCACTTGGAACACATAGATCACATCTCGGGCGAACCTTTGGGGCAACTTGTATTATTCATTTTGGTCCAGAGTTGAGAATATCATCCTTCTAGCTATCATTTTTCGTCAATCGACTCCAGGTCGTAAATCTGCACTTCGAGTCATGCTCGAATTGTTCCATGCTTAGGCACCTCCATCACGCTTAGCATACTCCTCCTCCATGGCCTCCTCATAAAGTCGATCGGCCTCTTTCTCCTCTTCAGTCTTGGGCCTTGTCACGCCTGCGCCAGTGTTTGCACCTGCACCGGTAGCAACGCCAGTGCTGTGATTCTGTTCTTGTTGCGGGGTTTGAGGAGAAGTGGTTGTTGCTGGCTCTGAGAAAGCAGGGAGACCCATGATGTTTGATTGTGAAGGCTTTGTGTTGTGTGATAGGTCAGAAGAGAAAAGAAGGGTCGAAACGAACTAAAATTGTATCTTTTGAAACTTTTGATAAGATTTGTAGTTGTCACGATGAATATCCAAATCTGAAGGAGTCTCTTATACTTGATGTGGCAATGGTGTGGCGAGTGAGGTACGTCACCTGTGGCTCAAGCTACCGTGGAACCAGGAGTAAGGGATGACCTCTCAGATGAGAAAGAAGTGAGGATTAATTCTAGGCTTTGTTGAGCTCCGTTTTGACCCGTTGCGACAAGCCAAGAGGAGCTGGTCTAAGCTGGCAGTTTACCGTTGTCAGAGTAAGGCTTTGATTGGACACTCAATGCGAACTCGGGCCATTGTCGATCAGGGTCTTACTGTGACATCATTTCGGAGGCTTTATTCTTCTCATTCTTATTAACGAGCTTGCTTACAAGAAGTGGAAATTAATTTGTAAACTTCTACAAAGTCCCAGTCTCGGGGTGAATGAAGGTGGTATACAAAGTCACCGCAGTGTACCTCTCATCCAGCCGGATGCCCGTTCTGACTGGGCCTTAAAATAAATCAGGGTATTTACATCTGCAAACATGTCTCGCTTCCCCAGACTCCCAAGGTCTTTTTTACACCCAAGCTAGAATTCCCGAGCTTCACCAATATCGCAAACATCAAATACACCCACCTCGGGTAGGCCTCTCTTTCGTAGAGCCGTCTTCAGCATCTTGGGTGGTTCCAGAACTTCCTCCAACGTGAGCGCCCACGTGCCCCAATGAATTCCCATTGCACGCTTGCATTGCGTGTCGCGGAAGATCTCGACGGCGTCTGCCGGGTCCGCATGCACAGGCGAGAATGCCACACGCGGATGATAGGCACCAATTGGAATCAAGCCAAGGTCAAAAGGTCCCCGGAATTCGCCAATCTGTTTGAACTGAGGGCATCTCGGAAGATGATCATACTCGGCACTGTAGTCATCGGTTCCAGGAGGGAGACTTGGGACTGATCGGTAGCCCGTGTCGCCACCAAACCAAACCGACTTCTCCCCAGATCGAACACCCCACGAGCACCATAGGGTAGTGTCACGATCCCACATGGTTCGCGCCGAACCGTGCTGACACGGCAAAGCCATTATCCTGGCGCTGATCTCGCGGGGACTGTCTCCATCCTTGACTGTGACAGTGAGGTCGGCATCCTCCCACCAATCGAGCTCAGTAACATGGTTGATGCCGGACTTGCGAAACCATGTCTCCAGACCCAGACCAACGAAGAATTGTGCGTCTGGATGGTATTTCTGAACCTCGAGAATGGAAGAATGTGAAAGGTGATCGTAATGGGAATGGCTAATGCAAACGGCGTCGATGATTGGAATATCTTTGATATCGCATGGCTTGGGCGTATATCGCTTTGGTCCCATGAAGTCGAATGGGGAACATCGGTCCTCGAAGACAGGGTCGAAGAGAACGCGCAGGCCAGAAGGGAATTCGACATAGTAGCAAGCGTGTCCTAGCCATGTTGCGCGGATCCTATCGCTAGTTTCGCGCTCGGTATTCCATTGCGGCTTTACCACTGGCACAGTTGGGGGAGTCAAATCGGGGTGCTTCATGTCGCCAGTGAAAGTAGGCCTACAAGTATATCATCAGTTTCTGGACGACGAAGCGCTCTTGACATGACAAAGTCGTCACATACCACCAGACTCTTCGCACCATGGTACCGAAGTTGGGACTGTATGCATGTGAAGGATAAGGATTCTTGAAGCCCACTAGAGAGCCACGCTTGAGGAGATGGTGAGGGTTGGAAACAGCTTCATCTGGAAGAGCTGATCGACCGGGTATTTTGGATACGGCAGTGCTAGAGGCGATAGATCCTCCAGATGAGCCAGGTGCATTCCTTGTAGCCAGCTCCGGAGGCTTCAGTTAGTTGCAGCTGGAGCCATGATAGTAGAGAATGCTGAGGAAAAGGTTGAGTATGCGGAAGCAAAAGCCAAGGGTTTAGTATTTTTCGTTGATCCAAAATGATAACTCAGTTGACGGATCGTCAAAGAAGTACGCGGCATGTGGCAGCTATGTCCCAAACCGGAGGCTTCGGACTTTAGCAGAGTTACAGTTGCACGAGGTAGGGTTTGATTGGATCAGGGCAACGCAACAAGCAAGATTATTTGGCATCCATTGATGAAGGGGAGAACCAAAAGAGATGAAAAAGAGAAGAGAAGAGAACAGAGAGAAGAGAGAAGATGAGGAGGTGGAGATGTAAACGTAAGGTAAAAAATATGGAGAGACAGGGCAGAAGAAGAGGCAGAGACAGAGACAACAGAGAGAGACACTGAGAGAGAATGGGTGAAGGAGCTATGACCTTTGGAGTCTAGGCAAGTACATTCCTTGGGACCAACAATGGAAGCATCATGGAAGCTGCCGAGAACTAACTTGCCGAGATTAGCACTAGGGGCCATGGCCATTAGATGGGTTCAACTTATGGATGACTACGGGGATAAAAACCTGGCGGAGTTAACGCTGAATGTTGGGCAGTTATGCAGCTGAGACACGAATACACAACATCAGTCAGTATAAGCAATACTCAACAGCCCATACTATGGTATACTAGGTACTCATCCAATCTGTAGGTAGCCTGAAACAGATCAGTCACAAGTTCTTCAGCTTCATCATGATGCCTCACTTTTTTCATTCATAATTCCATCCCCCAACTCAATATATGCCCTACAGGGCCTTGGCGGAGTTTGCATCACTTTCCCGCTCGCAAATTACAACCCCCCGACTCCCCGACCGGGGCAATTAAGAGGATCTTCCGAGGGCATCCGGGGGAATAAACGAATCCGAATGCAACAGAAGCCTTCTATTGTATCCTGGTCTTGTTCTAGCGAGCTTCTTATCCATGGACTCAACTTCGTATTATTCGCTCCAATATCACAGCTCATAAGATATAGTACGACCCTACAGAAAAGAGACTCATATCTACTGAGTACTCACGAATCATTGCAGTCATCGAGCTGGCTACCCCTGCTGGTATCTTCGGGAACCCCCTGACAAGGTGCTGACCATCCTTGTCGTCGCCATGTGGTGCCCATGCTTGCCATGCTACGCACGTTGTCGTCAGCTTATTATGTATTGCAACAGTGATAATCGAGAAATAACGTCGTTATGCTTTTTTCCATAACTAGAATTTTCGTAATCAAGGCCAACTATATCAGACAGCCTCGTGGTATCTTTCCTAAAAACACCAAAGCAAACCACCAGGTATCTACCATTACTAACATGTCATAATGCCCAAACTCGCACTCATCAAAAGCATGTCCGCCACAAAGGGAGCATGTATACTTGAGACAGGGACCAGTCAGACGAGATTGTGTCCAACTGCTCTCACTCATCCATCAGTCGACCAATCATGAAGCCAAACGCCATAAAACAAACCAAAAGGCCGCCCGAAACATTAATCGTCATCATAAGCGTCTCAGAAGATTGCTTCATGCGTAGCTCTCATCACATATCCATCTGTCGAGTCTCCTCACCCATCTCGTCACTACCGAGCTCCTTCTCGAGCTCGTCTGCTACAAAGCCCTCGTAGTCATCGAGGTTCTTTTGAACATGAATTTTGAATTTGATGACATCGTTGAGCATTCTGTCAATCTCGGTGTGAAGCTCTTCTCGGAGAGCGTTGGCCTGAAGCACAAGTTGCTCGTATCTGTTTGCCTCGTTAGTACTTGCGACTTCAATCAAACACGCTTGTCCACTTACTCAATTGTTGTGTTGATCTCACGCTGCTCCAGAATTTGCACGTTTTCAGACAAGCCAGCTCGCATACGCGACAGTTCTTTCTCCATCTTCTCAATATGTGCGTCAGAGGCCATCTTCTGTGCTGTCGACACCTCTTTCGTTCTTTCATACTCCTCTTCTGCTGCTCGAACACGGTGGTTGAGTGCCTCCACTTCACTGCGCCTATCTTCGATGGCCTCCTTGATGCCATCAAGCAAATCGTGATCCTTCATCATTTCTTCCATCGCTGCTGCTCGGCGATCCGAGATTTCCTTGCGCAGCGATAGGAAACTGTTTCGGATTTGTCCGCGAAGGTCCAAGTTAAGAATATGACCAGCTTGATATCCAGTGGTGGCGTCAACAAGGAGACGGTCCGCAGATGATGGGCCTGATGATCCCTTCAAGTTGGTAGAAGTGTAATCCGAGCTATCGGCCACCATGACCTGGAGCTCAAACTCCCTGCCCTTGGCATTGGCTGCCGTCGAAGGGATCAGTGCAATCTGATATGCCATTGTGTTGTATCGATCCACCATTTGCTCCAATTCATCTAGTTTTCGGCTCGCCTCAGTCTCTCGCTCCGTCACCTTCTTCTTTACTTCCTCCAGTCGTTGGCCAGCTGATTCAATGCCGCGCTGCAATCGCTCCCGCTCTGCAGTCATGCGGTCAATATCCTGCATGCTGATTCCTTGGGCATCCACAGCTTTTTGTAGGCTTCGTCGCTCCTCGTCGGCCTCTTGAAGCTCTTCCATGAGTTTGTCAAGCTCTTCCTGAAGGACTTGAGACCGGCTCTCGTACTTCTCGGACCTTTGCATCGCAAGGGCATTGTACTCCTCAAACTTGATCTTATCCTCCTCCATAATCTTGAAGTGGTTATCGAGAACTGCAGGGTCGGGTGTTGACTTTTCCAAATCCTCGATTTCCTTGAGAAGGCGTGCGTTTTCAGCTTCTAGCATTTCGAGTTCTGATGTGTATTTGGAGTTTGATCGCTCAAAGGCGGCTGCCATGGATTGAACATGAGGGGCCAAAACACGTTCAGCCTCCTCATCACCCATATCCTCGTCCATAGCCAACCAATCCCGGTAACCATTGCTGAGGAAGTCAAAGATGATGCGGTCGCCACTAACGTCAATGCCACTCTCCATACAAGCCTCATCGTATTGGCAGTTCACATAGCCGTCGAGCATTTGTGCTAGTTGCATCATCCAGTGAAGAAGGCCAAGGAATGTACTCCAGTTCTGACCTCCGACAGCAGCAATCTGACTCTTTGTGATACTTCTTTCGAAAGGATATCGCATTTGCTTGAGTAGAGGTGGCACTTCCTGGTCGATATTCTTCTGGAACTTATGGCTGGGGTCTATACGATGATAGAGCCACTGGAACATGTAGTTGAAGTCCTTCTGCGTCGGAGATTTGAGCACGTTTTGCGAAAGAACATGCTTCATCTCCATTTCGAAGTTGTGTTGAACCATGTATTCCAAAATTTCTTGTCCAATACGAGCTTGAAAAGATCGATCTTTCAGGGGTCGAGGGTCACGGGGAACACCAGCTGGGGCAGGTGTAGTTTGAAAGAAACTCTGGTGCGTCGTTGGAGGAGCGGTAGATTGACGAGGTCGGTACACGCTGCTGCGTCGATCGCCATCAGTGGAAGCTCGTGTTGTAGGATTTGGTGTGAAGGCGGAGGCTTTAGGCGCAAACGAAGAGCGCTTCACCGACGAAAGGCCAAGGTCGGCAAGATTAGTTCCAGATGACGAGCGTTGGAACAGAGGCTGGTTAGGTCGTGGCATGGCAAGGGATTGCCTAGATCCCGACATGGAACGGACATGACTGCCGGGGTAATTGCCGCCAATATTGGAGCTGGATCGCTTCATAGTCGAACCAGGCTGCGGAATGGCGCTGTTTGCATTAATACCACCAAGGGTCTATGTTGCAGGTTAGAATCAATATTGCTATAGGCCGGTGCGCGGGAATGGCGGTCTACCAGTTGGGCGCAAAAGCTGGTAGAAGATATTCGGTATTCGTACCTCTCTGGGTCTACGGACGCTCCAAAGGCCCGTATCTTGGGACATGATCTAGTGAAAAGGGAAGCACGCGACTGCAATGAGGTGCATGCGCAAAGCAGGCGACTATCGTGAGTTGATGTATGCGCGGAGGGGTCGTCGTGATAATGGCGTTGATGTAAAGTGGGATGTGAAAATGCAGAATGGCGTAAAGTCAGGTAAAGAGAGTAGGGTAGGGGAGATTAGGCGTCGCAGAGTGTTGCTCGGGAGGAAAGTAAACAAACCATCAGCTCAACCTGATTGGTCGATAAATTCTGTGTTGTCTCTGGTGGAGTAACGGTTGAGTTGGCAAAAGTGGGACATTCAATTAACATTACACGTGATCGCATCTGCAGCCTCAATCTGATTCTGACGGGAACGGTTTGCGGTACGTACCAGTAACTCGGCAGGTCAATTGGGAGAAGCCTCGGTATAGACCCGGTCACGCTTCCGACTCCACGCCTCCACGTTCTTCAACTCCACGGTCCGGCCTCCGCAAGCTGAGCTAGCACATGCATTTAACGTTCCCACCATCATCGCTCAAGTCCTTTCAGGAGTTTCTTCTACAACTTCTTCCCATTGCGACTCGGGTTATGTGGTGAGAGCCGTCTGACGGCTAAGCATCAATCATGGCTATTCGCGAGGATCTCGTATCTTCTGCAGTAAGTTGACCTACTCCCCCAGCCACCAAAGCTATTGGAATAGAACCCAGCAGATGCTAACTCCTGAATAGACCCAATGTCAGTATTGACTCCGATACAACCATCACGAGTGCGCCGACTAACCTATCGCAGTTCTCCAAGACCCAAGTGTCGCGTCATCCTCCGTCGAGAACCGCATCTCTTTCCTTCGAAGCAAGAACCTGACCCAAGAAGAAATTGACGTTGCGCTGGCACGAACAGGTGGTAGCGCACCTCCAGCTCCCAACGCGTCTTATCCCAGCGCTCCCACCGGCCCTCCTCCTGGCCAACAATACTATCCCCCCTATCCACAGCATGCCTGGCAACCACCGCCACCTCCTCCCCGTAGGGACTGGAGAGACTGGTTCATCATGGCCACAGTAGTTGGAGGCGTCTCTTATGGCCTCTATGAGTTAGGCAAGGTTTGTGCTTGTCATTGTAGCGATTTTGATGATGTAAGCTAACTTGCGACCAGCGCTACGTATATCCAATGGTCGCGCCTCCGACACCGGAGAAATTGGAACAAGATAAGAAATCGATCGAAGACCAATTTGACCGAGCTTTCACGCTTGTCGAGCAGCTTGCGAAGGATACGGAGAGTCTGAAGAATGCCGAAAAAGAGCGAACCGAGAAGCTGGACGCTGCGATCGCGGATCTGGAAACAGTCATGACCGACCTCAAGGCTGCGAATCGCCGTCGGGAGGACGATGCGACCCGAATTCGCGACGAGGTTCAGTCTCTTAAGGACGCTATTCCCAAGGCTCTAGAGAACCAAAAGGGCCTGACTGATAACCGGCTGAAGGAGATCAACACTGAGCTCACCAGTCTCAAGACATTGGTATCTCAGCGCATGACCACCCCCAGCAGCAACACTGGCTCTTCAACCGTGAACACCTATATGCGAGGTTCAGCCGGAGCTGTCGGTGCCGGTGGAAGCTCCAGCGCAGCTACTCCTGCTGCCTCTACCTCGACTCCCGCTGCTAAGACCAATGGAGAGAAGGCCACAGTTGAATCAGCTGCTACCACTCCTGCTGCAGAGGTCCCCAAGCCAACATTCCCCTCTGCTCCTCAACTTAACCGTTCATCCTCCCCTCTTGCCAACATGACCGGCAAGAAGTCTATCCCTGCTTGGCAGATGGCCATGGCTAACCAGAATGATACATCGTCGACTCAGGTCAAGGCTGACGAGCCAAAGGCTGGCGCTAGTTCCAGCTCTTGAAACAGTGAAGAGTATACCTGACCATAATTGTACAATATTTATGCATCCATAGTTTTGGAATAATCGGGTCTGTTGAATGGAGGTGTTTGCGTGGCGGGATGGTTTGGTATTGTAGCGTTATATCACCATTGTCAATTTTACCACATTACTTATTTGAGCCTAATTCTACAACCTCATAACTATCCACCTGTTGTAGATGTATGTGGTACGCCTAGATCCATTGAGAATGAACATACAAGTCGTAATATTCTTCAAACCAAACGAAAATACTCCGAACCCTGGCAGGTATTATGAAGATATTATGATATGCAAGATGCTTGATTTGGACAGAAAAGCCTGCAAGATCCAATACCAATATTGTTACAAGTTCCGCGCCTAGTTGTTTGCTTCTTCCCACCTCGCGTGCGCTTACATGCATCCCCTTGCTATCGCGCATGCACTCAACCTTGACGCTGCCCGCAAGAATTACCATTTTGGGCTTGATGAGCCTACCAGTCTCATAACCCACACTCGACCAACGCATTGACCGTTGAAAGCGTTCATCTCAAGGCCAGTAAATGAAGGCAAAATAAGAGTTCGTCTTGTCAAATTTACTAGCTAATCCCCGCAATATAACTCTGGTTCTGATGCCGAGGGGTCTGATTCATGTCTGAAGTGTGTCTGAAGCGCTAGGTAGTTGCAACTCCATGTAGAGAGACTAGTAGAGTAGACGTCACTTGAAGTTTGGTTTGCGAACTAGTTAATTCCGTGTGCCGAGGCTCATTTTGTTGAACCAACGCATCACCTCAACTGATGGCAGATACTCTCCGATTTCTCTGTGATTTGACTGTGAAAAGTGAAAAGGAATAACTTGTCACCACCTAAATATCGGCCTTTCAGCTGCCAGAGAATTCACGCTGGTCCTAGGTAACCACACCTTTAGTAAAAGCCCACTTACACTTACAAGTGGCAAAGCAACAAAGTGTCATGGATCTCCAAGACCGCCATTCCGGACAAGGACTTTGACGCGATTCCAAACAGAAAAGACAGCCCCCGATTGGACTCTGTTCGAGGGAGATCATTGAAATTGGATCCTAGGGGTTCCTAACTCTTTGTTTAGCTAGAGGCCGCTGTACGACAACTAACTCTTGTTGAACTGCCTCAGCTGGTCCTCTCTTCTACTAGCTACCCCTCCCTCTAACCTATTACCCAGACCTTTACGACTTGGGTCTCAATCAGGCAAGTCTCTGGTGTTCTGATTATATCAGGTCGATGCCTTCCTCGACCTGTCCCATGCCCATCTGTTGTCTTGGTCACTTCGTCTTTGCCTTTAAATCACTTGCATCGCACTCACATCAACATCTATAACTTCAGCGACAATCCTCCCCTTGACATAATTTGGACATTCATACCGCTATGGACTCAGCAACTCTGGAGACTCTACGGACAGTTGTTCCATTACTCCCTCTCATCGTCCGCCATGGCCTAGCACACATCCTCAACCTTTCCGACTCATCCAAATATCTCGACCTGCGAAGCGCCATCATCATCGCCTGCCTTCGTGTTATTCTCACACCAAAAGCTCCCCGTAGTATATCATCTGTCCAACGACTTACACTCCGTGACTCTGGTATAAAGGGGCACATCTGGGTGAGCAAATATGCTAGTCCACAACCTCCAGAGACATCAGTCCGCGATGCCCTCATCAGCACACTCGAACGCCTCGGAGGCTCCACCTGCCGAGTCCCCGTTCCCGATCTCGTTGATGTTGAGGCCGAGTGGACCGGCTACCGGAGCGGTGTAGCCCGTGGCGCTCCGTTGCCTGACGTGTCGGAGCGGGAGATGTATCACGGCATGATGCAAGAGTGCAAGAAGCCAACAACAGTCTTGTACTTGCACGGCGGCGCTTACTATCTCTGTGACCCAGCAACACATCGTCCTACAACGAAAAAGCTGGCGCAGTTGACGGGGGGTCGGTGTTACTCGGTGCGCTATCGACTTGCGCCGCAACATCCATTCCCTGCGGCGTTGCTTGACGCTTTCGTGTCTTACTTGACGCTTCTATATCCGCCTCCGGATGCTTATCATGACCCTGTGCAACCGGAGCATATTGTGATTGCTGGTGACAGGTATGTCTCGAGTCTGAGTCGTGTGCCACAAGGACTAACATAGGAGGTTATAGCGCTGGCGGCAATCTTTCACTGTCGTTACTCCAACTCATCCTCGAGCTCCGCAGACAAGACTCTCCAATTCTGTGGCACGGCGAGCTGCGTCAGGTTCCCATGCCAGCTGGCGTAGCACTCAACTCTCCGTGGCTCGACATTACACAAAGCTCCCCAACATGGGAGATGTCAACACCAACGCCATGTGATTATCTTCCCAAGCCGGAGGCCATCGAGAAGCGCACAGTCCCTCCGTGTGAAGCCTGGCCAGCTAATCCACCACGACGCAACATGTACATCGCTGACGACCTCGCTGCTCACCCTCTTGCATCTCTCGTCATGGCACGCAGCTGGAAAGGGGCGCCGCCTATCTACCTTTGCACGGGATGGGAGATTCTCGCATATGAGGACAAGTTTCTTGCTCGCAAACTCGAGGCTGAAGGTGTGCGAGTGGTGTTCGAGGAGTACGAAGGTATGCCGCACTGCTTCGCTATGATGCTGCGTAACGCTCCTGCAACGCCACGGTGCTACAACGGCTGGGCATCATTCATACGTGCCGCAGTGGAAGACCCCGAGAGCATTGAGTCGAGTGCTGTCATGATAAGGGCAAAAACATGCGAAGAGGTCCCATTGAGGTTTGACCAGTTGAGTGATGTTTCAGAAGAGGATATTCAACAAAGGGTGCTTCGGAAGACAGGGCTAGAATATCGAATTCTAGAAACTCCAGTAGCTAAACTGTAAGTGGTGGCTTTACTGGACAACGGTTTGAAACACAATTGGGCATGTAATGGG